CCACCATCTCAGGCCCCACCTAAGAAATCCTGAACCAGAAAGTGACTTTGAACAAGATGCCCATTCTTGCTGTTCACACATTAATAAGTTTGAGCACTGCTTTAAAAATAATTAATCCCTTGATGAAAACTGAAGCTTACATAGAAACTTGACTGTAATAATAAAATCAAGGACAATCTAGCAACTGTTTATTCCTAAGCCTCCAACCCAGGTTTAGCCACTTCAGAGCATTGAGAAAAACACATAACTGCTACTCCTAAACTTGAAGAAAAGGACGTACATCTTGCAATATAATTTGCCAAATACTAAAAAGGGAAACTGGGCCACCAGGAAAATAAATCTATTTGAGGTCACTTGGTTATTAATAAAGAAGGAAAAACAGGTACAAAAATAAGAAAACATATCATAACAGTGAGCTTTGGTGTGATGAATAGAATGTGTTGCCAAAGACCTGACTCCAAAAGTCCAAAGCAGGACAGCAAGTGCCACCAGACCAAGTGAAGCAGCTGGGGTAAGGAGTGTGATGAGACACCTTCCAGAGGTGTCACTGAGGCCAGGGTAGTTATCAAGAGCTGGGGCTGAAGGAGGAAACTGTAGTGTTTATACCTTTTCCTACCAATACACCAGTCGTCAACATACCACAAGGAAAAGAGCATACTTTACCCTACCCCATATTCATTTTGGCAATCACTCCAAATGAAGACAGGAAAAGTCAGTCGCATGCACATAAAACTGAAAGCAAAAGTTTTCTACTAGCGATCATTCTTTGGCAATCTTTCTTAGTTATTTGGCTGAAAATATACTGATGCTTTGAGAAGCAAAGGTCTGTGTGAAAAACACGTTAACATACTTAAAACAGGGTCCGGGAGAAAATCTCCAAGAGGAACTTGCCATTGGTTTGTGATAGAAACTAAAGCCATAAAATAATTCAAGTCAACCTTTATCAACCCTAGGGGTATGTGGAAAATAAATACATTTATGCCTGGGCTGCTGTACCCAGAGATAATCAAGGAAAAAAGGGTTATCATAACCAACTAGATGATATCAGAACTCAATGGCTCCAGTAAATTTAGGGGTGAAATGATTTGACTATCCCAACATAACATTTTCCTTTGAGATTCTCTGGGAAGGCAAAGAAGAAAACTAAGCCTTACTGAGCATCTACTATGTGTTTCACATGTGTGACTTCATAACATCCTCGTAATCCTCCAAGGGAAGTGATACTCCTCCTATTTATCGATGAGGAAAGTGAGGAAATATTTCACCCAAGGCACACAGCTAATTTAAAACAAAAAAGGTAAAGCTCAGTCGATATTAAAATGCTACAAGTAGATTGTTCAGAACTGAGAGCATGGACAGAATCAGAGTTTGGGGTGCTATTTTTTTTTTTTTTGAGGGTAAAGGACTCTTCTGCCTTGACACTAGTGTAGATAACTGAGGTTTCTCTTAGTACATGTCTTTATACTGCTGGCATCCTCTTATCACCCATTTCTGGATGTGCCTTAGGTTTCAGAGGTATTTTGGACTTGGTAGTTGTAATTTTGGCTAAGTTGGAGGGTTTAGAAGACTTGGCACTTTTCAGGCAGTGTTATGTAATGGAATTGAGCCCTGGCTGGGATTTGGAAACCTGGGTTCAGTTCAGGCGGTGTCACTTATTAACTGAGAGTGGTCAAGTTGCATGGCTCTCTCGGGTGCCAGTATTTTATCAACTACATGACGTTGAACCAAGTACCCTGAAGGACTTTCCTGGCTCCACCATTCAACTCTCCTTGACTCAACTGTTTACAACTGTGACTTGCATCAAAATATATTAGAAATGAATTGAAGAGTTGGCAGACTTATACAGGCAAGACTGTGAGGTAATTCAGGGTATAAAAACCTAAAGAATAATTATCTAACTTCTATTACTCTTGCCATCTGAAAGAGTAATCTGGAATGAAATGGTTTAAAGTGTTTCTTTTTTTAAAGCTCTGCTTTGTATTAGCTCTTTAACTTAACATCTCTGAGTTCCATTCTGTGCTTCCATAGAACTGGAATTGATAACGAATATTAGCTGTCATGTAGTGAAGTGTCTCGTCTCCAGCAGGAGCATAAGAAGTGCTGGTTGTATTTATTGCAGGGGTCATTAAGGGTTTGGCCTATGGTTGGATAACAGTTCAAAGGAAACTTCTCCATAGAGGGATGGAGCCTGAGATCATAACCTCATTAACACTGGGAACTTGCCATTAACCTGTGTCTGTGCAATAAATAAACTCAGGTGCAGCGTGGAGAAATATAATTGCTCTTTTCTAGACCTACTGGCATTGCTTACTTTCTTTGTCAAACATGCTAATTCACCCTTTAGTGAATAAAACTGGAAGAGAGACAAGTGGACATATTTGGTGGCACAGCTGGAGGGAGTATTTGAAGACAGGAAAAGTCCTCAACATCCAGAAAACCTAGAAAGAGGTTGTTAAGATCTTTATTTTCCCATTTTCTAATTTCTGCCCTCTGGGCATAAGGAACAAAAGGTACCAGGAAGAGGAAAGGGTGGCTTTACTTTGTCTATAAATGAAAATAAACAAATAAATAAATAAACAAATAAAATGCAAATAAATAATCTATCTGTAAACAACCCATCACTTTGAGGGACTGCCTTTTGCCTCTATCCCCCTCAATGCTTTTCCTTTTCCTCTCCCCTGCCCCATCACTAACATACTCTCCTACCTCCTGCCCTTTTCCCTCTCCAGTTTTATTAGAGATACCATGCTAATCTCCAGTTTTTGTGACTTCTTATTCCATCCCTTTCCAAGATATGTTTCAACATTGTAAGACTGTTAGAAAGCCTGGGTGGAGAAGAAGATGAATCCAAGGACCCAATTATGGGAAGCCAAAGGGGAGTGCTTCCTATCATGAGACTATACTGCTTGTTTTCTAAAAGATAGACCAAAAGAAAGTTTTGAAAATTTTCTCTGTTTTCTACAAGTAGATTCACCAACTCAAGCCAGCAAGAGTTCAAATGTTTCTAGACATTTTAAAAGAGGCAAGTGATGCCTATTAACCAAAGCCTTCTGAAGTTCAAAAAAGGAAACAAGTGATTGATTACTAATTAAGTGATAATTATTAGAGATACCATGCTAATCTCCAAATTTCTTTTGGCTCTAACATTATGTAATTGGCAGTATAATTTTATTGCTTTAAATAAATTATGGGGTTAGAGTTGTTATATTGATGTTTTTATGACACACCACTATCAAAACTAACCATATATTGGTTGACAGGTGTTGGCCTGTAAAGGGATCTTCCTGATAATAATAGCGCTCTTTTGGAATATGATTTATTTTCTAACAATCCATGATGAGCAACTTTTACAGGACAAAGCTCCTATAAAGGACATGTTCAACAACCCCTTAAATGCTTAAAAATGCCTCTTGACTAATTACACTTTTAGAGCTTTTAGCTTGAGTTGGGGGTATGTGGACATTAAAAAGATAATTATCTAAAGGTTTTCTTTAGTAAGTTGTTTCCTATTTCATTTTTTATTATTCCTTTATAGAAAACTCCCTAAGAAGGATTAACAACTGTTACAAATTATTCTACCTACCCCTCAAAAAAAGGAAGGGGAGGGAAAAGGGGGTAAGAGAGGGTTGTTAATTCAGACACAAACTAAAAACATCCTGCTTAAACTTCAGATGTTGCCCATTTCCAGGACTTTGGTATTATGTGTCCAAATCTATTTCTGTAGCACCTTTCAGACAAACTGAGGCTCCAGAAGGAATATAGCACTTGTAAACATCATACCAAATTATAGTGTTTTTTCAAAGATGCTGTGCAGAGTCAATCAGTCCATGATTTTGTTATGAAGCTCTTGAAACAATGTCATTGAGATATTTTAACTTAATGGCTCTGGACAACTGCATAATCTCTCCCCATCGGGTTGAAATTTCTACATTCTCTTTTCCCAAACTTTCACTCATTTATCATCTATTCAGACAAAACATGTGCTTGGAAAGTTTCTTCATACATACATGGAATTGCAAAGTAATCCCACAGAGTGGAAAATGATGAACTTTTTGTAAATATACCACTGGCTCCCAATTTGGCCTTCTGACTTGCTCTATCTTGATTTATTCTCTATTTTTTCATATATGAATGTTTAGTATTTTGCTTTTTAAATCTGTTTATAAAATTCTTGAAGCCAGAGATCTCATGATAAAAATCTTCTCATTTTTGACAGAGTTATGCTAGAAAGTATACATAAATACTTATATTATTTTCACTGTTTTACCTAAAAGAGTGGAATTTATTCTTTTGCAGTGGCTGGGCTATTGAGTGTTATTATATAAACTGCAATTATTAAGTTGTCCTAGACAAATCACTTAATATTTCTTTGCCTAAAATTTCCCTGGTAGAGAAGAATTTTTGAAGAAGTAGTTTATGTCTTGGATTAAGACAGAACTTCAAGAAAAATCCTATTTGTGCTATTTACTATAGGGATTAAATGTAGAACTATAGAACTTCCAACTCCTTCCTTATAGCCTGGGGTCAAGAGAGTAGTTTCACTTCATGGGAATTTTTTTTTTTTAAGGCAGAATGAAAACATAAATGTACAGAATGGAGCACACTGTCTAAGTTCATGCTAAATAAATATCAATTATTATTGTTTCAAGTTCTTTACAGGTCCAGAGTGCTAAGATCAAGACAGATGTAAACCTCAATTATTGAGTCTCCAGATCCCCCTAGTCTCAACTGTCTGGCACCAGACAGAATCTCCAAAGTGGAAAAAAAAAAGTTTTACAAAAGACAAACTGATTCAAGGCTTGTTTTAATACCAGTTTACTCATAGAATAAAGAGAATAATCACTGAGCTTGTGATATGCATAACTGAGCACACAAAATGACAAAAACAAATCCTTTTAAGACAAATGACTAAGAAACCTGTTCTAAAATGCATGTTCAGAATTAAGACACAGGATGTCATCAGTCTATCTGTGGTCATGGGTTTGCACAAAGACACTGACCTGGCTTGCTGGAAGTGAAGAAGAGAACACCCTGCTCTCAGCTGGACTTACCTGCACAAAAGAGAGAAATATTTTTATAAATCTTACTGTCAGGAACACAGTTGTTTGCCCTTCTCCCCAAGAAAGGGTAGAATCCACTTTACTTCTGCTAAGTGCCAGTGTAGAAGTGGCATTTCTGTGGGTCAAATATATCTTGAAATAGCTAGGGTAACATTTTGTAGCATTTGTGAAAATACATTTCTGAGCATTTTGGAATGATTAAAGAAAAAAAAAAGCATTTGGCCACAAACTCATGGATGGGAACAATGAAAACTTTATAGGCAGTTTACAATACACAAGTTATAGAAGTGGGCATGCTATTCCTCCAAAATAGAATTTTTAGACAACATAATCACAACTAAAGTCCAGAATGTCAGAATAAAAAGAATAATCACTGAATTTGTGATATGCATAACTGAGCACACAAAATGCCAACAAAAGCAATTCTGTTTTTTCTTATTATATTTGTATAATTAATAAATTGCATTATTATTTCAATAACATCAATCTGTTATGTATGTTTCTATTCCTATCTCTGTGATCACACACTGCCAGGTGTACTTAATATTTATACTACCTTCAGAAGCTGGGCAACTAACAGTAATAAGCAAGTTTAGAAGAATATTGACCATGATTTTATTGCTTCCCAATAACTTTTCAAAGCCTTCCATAATGAGATTGACTGGTTGAACTAATATGACCACATATGATCCAGGAATCTCCCAGGAAACCTAGTTTAATATAACAATTTACTGCCCACTCTACCTGTGGAGCAAGTTTGCAGATGTTATTTATGCTGCAAAGAGCTTGTGTTTATTTTCTAGTATCCACTGGCTCTCTAAGCATCTAAAAGCTTATTGGAAAGGAAATGCAAATTTCTAAATAGAGTTTGTAAACCAGTTTAACGGCCTATTGACTTTTTACTATCTGATGATAATGACAGGACTCATACAAAGAAGAAAATCACTAATAACTTAGTATTACTTTTGCAGTTTAGAATGTTTCCTGTAGAATATGCAGCACAGCCCCAGTTCGGGGTGGGGTGGCCCCAAACCAATGAAACCTCAAGCTGAGCATCTGGCTAAAGTTCAACAGGGCTCCCAGAACAGCATAGGTTGGAGGAGTTCAAAGTGAGGGAAACTTTTCTTAACTTCCTAGAGTTTCCGAGATCTTGATGCTTCTGTGTATATATCAACTTTCATGCATTTTTCCCCCAGCAAATGTGTACAGTCAGCTCCAGAGGCACAGCTTGTGTGCTGACGTGCAAAGCCAAGTCAAAACCCTGCGCTTGGCGCTCTCTTCTAACTTTCTGGCTTGTCCAAGTCTAAATATTGACACTGCTCCTCAGTTGAGATGTTTGATACTGCTGGGGATGGAAATGACACAGCTAACTGTAGGATCTAATGATATATTTTTACACACTTGTGCTTTCCTTCCATTTCTTTTTGGGGGAGGAGATTGTTTTCTCTTCTCTCCCCCCGGAGTATTTTCCCCGAAAGCTGAGCACACAGATTCAAGGTAAGGTGTGTGCAAGCCCCTCATGGCAGCACCTACCGTTGTCACAGCAACTCAAAACAGACTCCATAGACACGGGGTTTGGGGTGGAAGGGACGGAGCGCCAAATGTGGGCTCCAGTCAACTCTCAAGGGGTGCAAGTGCCAAAAGGGCCAGCGTATCAGCCTTTCTAGGTCCTCCCGTTCCCCACCACTGTCCTTCGAAGAAAAAGAGCTTTCTTGTAGGCGCGGCACCACCCCCTCCCGGCGCAGCCAGCCTGCTAAGGGTGCCGTTGTACATTTTCTCAGCTCCAAGTTAGGGGCGCGGCTGGGCGGGCACTCCTAGAAATCTCTTCTGCTTGCCTCTGATGGGAAGGTACCCGGCCTCACAGAGAGGCGAGGGCGGCCCCTACAGCAGTTTTGTCCCACAACTCACTCTCGGGGTGCTGCTGGCCGCTTGGCACGGCCCCAGGAGCCCCCACCTGCCACCCGCGGGAGCCAGGGTGGTGGGGGCTCCGCGGCTGCTGTTCGGAGAAGTTTCATACCGTAGCGCACTCACGACACAGAACCTACCCTGAAGCCGAGCGAGACGCGAGCACTCTCCGCCTTCAAGGGCCAGGGGGGAAGCGGGGGGCCCCGCCACTCAGCAGCAGCCACGGCTGCGCGCGGTCGCGGGTGTGCGCGGCCCCTGCGCGCGGCGCGCCGCCCGCCGCCCAACTTTGCACAAAGGCAGCATGGCACTGTCTTGTCTCGCCAGCCTCGCCTCGCCGGCTCGCCCAGCCGCTGCCGCTCTTCCCGGTCCGGGGCGAGAGGGGCTCGCCCCTTTCCACCGTTAGCCCTCCCCTTCTCCTGTCCCCACCCCGCTCCCAGGCGGTGCAGCCGGGCGGAACCGAGAGCCCGGCACCTAGCTCCGACGCGGTGGCGGCCGCAGCTCGCACTGTGACGTTAGCAGCCTTCGAGGCTATTTATATCCACACGATTGGATTTCATTCATGAAACCAGGGCCTGGTGTGTCTGAGCTCTGGTGCGCGAGTGGCAAAGGTGCCTCGGCTTTGCGCAGACCCGAGCGGCCTCGGCTCGGAAGCGGACTACCCGGGGCAAACATGCGCAGAGCCGAAGAGACCCCGGCCCTTCTAACGAGAGGCCGCGAGGGGAGGGTCTGAAAGATCTATGCCCACGTCCCCCATTCCCAAAACCCCACCCATTCCCGCACATCTGTTGGCCCTTTGTCCCAGGCTCTGGAAAAGTAAGTTGGGCCACTAACCGGCTGGGTAGCATGGCTTTCTTCCCCTAGGAGCTGACCGGCCGCGGACTCCGAGGGAGGACATTGGCTTTTGTTTCAAAACCGAGCCCAGCTGCTGACTAAGGGCTGAGATAGCCCAGCCTCCTCCTCCCCTGGGCGGCTGCACGTGCTGGCTGGCTCTTGCCTCTCTACCACCTTCTTTTTGCAACTTGGCTGGAGGTGTCCACACAGCGGGGCGTAGCGACACACCTCTACCCCGGACCCAAGAAAGGGGAGATTTACAATCGCTTGCAAATGGCTGAGTGAAGAGGTGAAATTGACTTCTGGTCTCTCAGGTAGTGTCAGAATTCTTGGAAGCCCCCCAAACAAGCCTTACCCTCCACGCAAAAACTCTTTTAACACTCTTCCAGATAGACTGTCCTCCCACCCCGCACCATGCATTTACATAGTAAATGCTTATAGAGTACCTACAGGATGTTAGGTACCCTGCTAAGCTCTAAGGAGGTGACAGTATATACAGCCAACCTATTCCCTGACCTCCGGGAACTTTTAGTCATCCTGCTAAAATTCATATGCCTTAAACCCCCTCACTCACAACCCCTGAACAGACCACTGGGCGATTAAAGGACCACTGTGTTCAGCTATCTTAAAGGATATAATAATTTAATAAACTTTATTGATGCTGAGTACCAAGGGCTTGGGACACAAACATCACCAATGTATCCTTGGTCTTAACAAGAAATGTGTTCCCTATATGGAAAGGCAGTGGGGGAAAGGAGCCATATTTTATTTTAAGCGCCATTTATTTGTTCCATCCCATGCCCCCCCCTCCCCCCCAAACATGAAAGCATTTCAAAAGAAACTTTTCCATCCCTCAGCCTTTTCCAGGAAAACATCTTCAGTTTCCCAGGTGGATTACTTTCTCCACCTAGAATTCCTGATGAATTTCGGGTCATTAAACATTTCTACTCTCCCTCCATTAGTTTATACATATATTCTCTTCTTAGAGATAAACACTATGGGCATGGAGAAAATGTTTTACAAGGAAAGGTATCACGGGTAACCTGCTCTGTTTGAACCATACTCACTGCACTATTGTTGGAAACAGAGTTATCAAGACTCTAAATTCTTGACACCATGAAGACAGGGCAGTGAAAAGTCAAGTAGGGGTGTCTCAAGAACTTCAACACACACAAGGGTCCCATCACTCACTTGACACAAACTGACTTCCTTTAGTCTATTTTAAAATGACTCCATTTTGAAAGGCTTAATCAATATATATTCCTTTCAGGAACACATTTCCTGGGAAAAGTTAATTAACCCTGTTCACTCCTAGCAATCACTCCTCTTCATTGCAAGCTATTTCTTTTCAAAATGCCCTAGGGGCTAAGATAGTAACTCAAATGAAATGAGAATCAACATGTGTTACAACCCTCACATGTGGCCAGCACAGGACTATGTGGCATAAAACCTATTTTTGTCATTTAATGGGCACAACAACTGAGGAAGCAGATGCTATTATTATCATAACCATTTTAAAGATAAGGTAACTTAGGTTCAGAAAAATTTATTTCCTAAAGTTTTGACAGCTGTATTTGCATCTGGGTCATTCTGTGCCAAAGTCTTATTTTATCTCTAACCTGCTTTTTAATATCTTGCCTTTCCTCAGTGTCTTCCATTCCCTCAGTTACAATTTAAAGAGTTAAGTTGCATGTCTCTCTTAAGTAGCAGGCAGGTGCTGAGAGCAGAAAGACACCTACACAAGGACACTAGTTGGCAGGCCATTGCCTTTTCCTCCCAGGGGCCACTAAAGCCCTCAGGCTTCCCAAAGACAATCCTCCTGAAGGGTATAAAGATCAAGTAGTCATTTTGGAATTGCACCTAAATCTAAGGGAAACTCATTGGAAGAGCTTTTAGGAAAATAAACTCGAATCAACAGCAATTCAGATATGAGGAAAAGTCATTGTTCTGGAATTCCTTCCAAGCAAGGGCTGAGAGCTAAAGAAGACGTTGTCTCATGGTGCTATGTAGCCCCTAAACCTTATACATTAAACCCCCAATTCTGAAAACAGAGAAAATGCAGCAAATTGTAAAGACTGCATTTTGCCAACAGGAAAGAAAAGGAACAAGAGCAAATAATTCCTAGAATCACTGCCATGAACATTATCTCTCATCTTTTATCAGTAGAAAAAAATACATCATTGTATACTAAAATTGTTTCTTGCTAATAAAATCATAACATTTGCTTTAAACATAAACATTGGTACCCAGGTGGATTAAGCAAACATTTTGTCTTTAAAGATTTTCATGTTTATATTACACAAAAGTGATTTTAAAACTTTTGAGTGACTTTTATAAGTCTTTAGGTGAAAAAGTATCCCAAATCTACATATATGTTCTGTAAACACAAAAGAACTCCCTCATGATACCCCCTTGTTTTGCCTCCCCCATCCATTAATCTATTCTTCATTTCCAGAGGTTTATAATTGACACATATTAATAGGGACATATAGTAAGTAATGTTTTGAGATTTATTTATTTATTTATTTTTACTAAGCATACTACCCTTGAGGTTCATCCAAGGTGTTGCATCTATCAATAATTCATTCCTTTTTATTGCTGAATAAATTTCTTTTTTATGGATATAGCAGTTTATTGATCTAAAGGAAGACATTTGAGTACTTTCCAATATTTTGCTATTATGAAAAACACTGAAGCAAACATTGTGTGTTTTCATGTGAACATAAGTTTTTTTCTTTGGGATGAATGCTCAAGAATTCAACTGCTGAGTCATATACTACATGTTTCATATACTATATATATGTAGTATATGACTGTTAAAGCACAACTTTACCACCTTACATTTCCACAAGCAATGTATGAGAGATCTACAAATCCTCACCAGTATTTGATATTATCACTTTTTTTAAAAACAAATTTTTGGTTCTGATAGTTGTATGGACAAGCTATTGTCATTTTAATTTTCACTGCCCTAACAGCTATCATGTTGAACATCTTTTTATGGGTTTATTTGCCATTGTTATCTCCTCTTTGCTGAAATAAGTGTTCATATCTTTTGCCTATTTCACAGCTGGATTGTTTGTATTTTTACTGTTGAGTTTTTAGAATTTTGGGGGGTATATATTCTGGGGTTACAATTTTCAAATTGTAAATTAAATACTGCATTACAATGTAACTTTATTTTCTATTCAATTATTATTGTTCAACATTTTTACTGCCAGAAGTTTTATGAAGAATATTATTAAGTATGGTAAGTACTTACATAAAATTATAGGAGAAAGTCTTCAGGTTTATTGTGTAAGTTTTCATTTCAGCCTTCTATAACGGACACTGATACTGAGACCCCAGCCACGTAGAGCAAAGACCTGGTCTCAGGCGCATGTGCATATGCTACCTCCTGCAAAACATGCACTCGCCTAACCTAGGGGGCAACTTCCAGCCGGCTATCTCTCTGCCTGGAATACCTAAATTAATGCTGCTAATGGCTTTTTGGAGGAAATTATCCTAGGTGACAATTTCCAGATATTACAAGAAACTTCATGAACAAGTATTCACAGGGGTTTAAAGACATGGAAGGGAATAAACTCACCTACAGGAGCATTCTAAGCATGGATATGTTTGGTAAAAAAACGATCTGTTGAAAAACAATCGTTGGAGCGATTTCTGGAGTTAACAGCCAACAACTTTGTGGCTAAAAATGAAGTGGGTGGTTACACATTCAACATACTGCTGCTAAAATTTATGGACATTCTAGCTTTTAAAGAAAATTTTCTTGGACTCCAGAGCACAATACAAAGTTCAAGTCGTGGACTTATTCTGTAGCTTAGTACAAATTTTTTGCAATAGGGTTCATGGAAAACATCAAGGTCCCAGTAGGCTGGGCTGGGCTCTGGTTAATGATGAGGGACAAGAAAGAGTGATACTGTTCTGGGGCTCTTAAGTATTGATGGGTCAAAAAGAAAATGAGCTCCTGAGCTCCCTGTTGCCCTGAAACACCTTCTTGTACACAATCACTCTAGTTCTCCTGTCAAAGTAAATGCTTCTCCAGGGTTTTTCTAGCCAGACTAGCTGGGGCAAGGTGCTGCCCAACATCCCTTTTGGGGCCATTTCCCCAGCATTCACATTGTTGACCGACCCTCACTGACCTTTTCTGTCCCAAATACCCCAGGAAGGCTTTGCATGCAGCTGTTGCTTCACAGATCTTTCACTTGCATAAAAGTGAGAACACCTCTGTCTGAGTGGCCCATGTGTGTGTGGTTTTGACTACTGAGACGTCACACAAACCAGTTCTGGAGATCTCTGCAGCTCCAATTTTCTGCCTGCTGTTCTAGGGGAAATCAGCTTTTGGGTGTGGCAATCAACTGAAGGCCATGTCCTTTGCCTAAAATCTGCAAGTGGAAATTGATTCCTCATCTTGGATTTGTAGTCCAATGTATATTGCTATTGGTTTTAAAAGTTTTTATGATATGCTTCTTTTTTATTTTAAAGCATCATTTTTTTTTGGGGGGGGAAAAGTATATATGAATGTTCAGCTAC